TCATATAACCCCAATGTACCAAAGAGGTGTTCTGGATATAATGTACCCTGTGCCTCTAAATTACATTTTGCACAGAGGGTGGTTCTGATGTACATCAAAGGCTCTGTGAGCATCTCACAATTACGTGGATAGAACACAGGTCTGGCTTGAGATAATATTTACCTGGTCTGTGGAAAGGTTGCTCTTTCTGCACTTTTCTTTCAATATAGAAATGCACTGGGAATTTAACAACAAAAACAAACCAAAACCATCTATCCAGACCCTCTTCTGAAACAATGAAAAAATCAGTCACTATTTTACTTTGGTCTAATGAAGTGATTAAGACACCGGTAACAATTTTAACAGCGAAAGGATTCACTTTTCAATGCAATAAAAATGTTTTGAGATCTGATGTTTCTATTATGCTTTACGGAGGATTTTGAAAGCGTATAATGCAAAGGGTGTGGTTAGCACATCATGACGGCTGATTTTGTATGCCGACTTGGGTAGGTCACAGTGCCCAAATATTTCACTGAACATTATTCCGTACGTTGCTGTCAGGGTATATTCTAGGTGAATTAACATTTCAGTAAGTAGATTAGAGAGAAGTAGACTACCTGCTGTCTTTGGGTGGAACCCATTCAGTAAGTTGAAGGCCTTCACAGGAAAACACAGACCTCCTTAGTAGAAGGAATTCTTCTAGTAGATAGGTTACAGATTCAAACTCTTCCAGCCAGCAGGCCTACTCTGCAGATGCTGTATTTGCCAAGCTTCCAGTTATGAGCGTCAGCTCCTTAAGATATATCTTTCTCTGTACACAGCCCATCAGCTGTGGAGATGGGCTGTGGAGAAGCATGATTAATACACATACATATGTATTATCAATGTTCGCCTGTATTTCTGAGTCCATAGGATTATATTTTCCTGAAAACTCGAAAGTAAACCATGACCACATAACTTGCTTTGGGTAATAAAATGGAAGTGACTGGTGCCATTTGTAAGCAAGAGGAAATAAGGGCCCGGTAGTGATTTCGCATGCCCTTCCCCTCTGGCAGCAAGGCCAGAGTCCCATGCTGACGTGGTGGGAACATCAGGGACTGCACCCCAAGCCTGGTCCTCAGGTGACCACTGTGGACAAGGAGTGAGTGAGAATCACATGTAGTTTCACGCCACTGAGATGTGGAGATTGCCTATGATATACCACTTGCCGAAGAGCATGTTCTATGTCCTAACAACATCTATTCACTGTACATATTACAAATGTTTTTTTCTTCATTGTTGCAAGTTCAGTGAAACTTCCATTTGATATAAATGCTGAACAGTGATTTGGAATACTATGTGTATATGATAGTAATAAAACTGCACCTAAAATTATTTTTTATGTAAACTTTTCACAAATTGGCCTCTTTTAATCCAATAATGGGTATATTTTGTCAAACCCAACATCCATTCCAGTATAAAGCTTGCAATTAATACAGTTCACAGACATGAACAGTTTTGTAAAGTAGCCTTTGAAAAGTTTATTCCCACTATCCCAGTGTTTTATGTAATAAGTTCTAGAATACGTCCCTTTCTATCTATAACTCTCAAATTACTAAGAAAAGAAAATCCTTCAGTGCTGCAGATGACTCAATCTTCCAACTTTGTGAGGTAGAGAAAGAAAAAAAAAACATACAGGTGGGATGCTGAGACACATGGGCCTGTGAAGAAACAGAAAATAAATGGAAATTCAATTTCAAAATTATGCAGTCAAGTTTTTCTGGAACTTCTACATACATACATTTGAGATTCTCAAACTCCTCTGATGTGTCCAGATTTTAAACAAAACTATCACCATTTGGGCCCAATTAAAAAATAAAAGGTATGGCACCACTTTCTCCCTTAAGTACCCAAACCTACAATGGACTCTCCATTGTTTACAAAAGGTACACCACCTTAATTACTTTACTATCAGGCACAGCCTACAACTAAACTGATTTTTGCCACCACTTTCTCAAATCCCTACTCCTTGGTATCCCCTCCACCTTCTAAAGGAAGTAGGCAGAGGGGAAAAGCGCAGGATCAGTTGGAGCGATCTCCACTGTTCTGTCCTATACAGCACTTACCACCATCTACTCTTGTATCTCAGCCCTGCTTCTTCAGATACCCGAGCTCTAACGGCGAAACTGATTGGGCAACAACGGACACTTAGTTACACTGGATGCACTAGGGTACCAACAGGAGCAGCTACTAGAATGCAAGTAGTTGCTGGATGCTCAAGACTCTGGAGAAGTCAAGGCCGACCCTGCCACTCTGAGGTGTCTGGCTCCACAGGGACTGGGGCAACCTTACTCAAGGCAGACAGATGCATGCTGCTGAGCAGACTCCTACAATAGGGGCAGGCAGAGAAGTGCAGTCTGTCCTGCTCTCAAAGTGATTTCTATTTGAGGAAAATAAAAAATAATGGTTAATGCAGTTAGGCTGTGGAGAACAGCAAGGTCACAGCATGGGCTAGGATCTGCCTCTGAATACAAAAGTGAGCTAAGGTTCTAGTTTATTTGCCCTAAGGACAGAAGTCCATGCAAAGGTGGGTTTGCCTGGGCAGTGAGGGAACAGATCTTCATCCATGAACACTAGTGAGGTCCTCTTTATGTGATTATCCTATTTTCCCATTAGAGTGCTCCTTTGTGTGTGTGTGTGTGTATCTGGTATAGGGACTGAACTTCAGGCCTTCATACTAAGCCATATCCCCAGCCTTTTTTATTTTCTACTTCTCGAGTCAGGGTCTTGCTAAATTTCTATTTTTATGAACTAATTACAGCCTCCAGGATGATAAGCCTTACACACCAAGTCTATGCTTGAAGAATCCCGTAAGCATTTGGTACTTACTACTTGCTACATAATTAGGAACTCCCAGCATGCATTACATATTGCCTTGAACAAGAGCCTCAGATGTAAACCATTTCTCAGTAACATTCCCTCTCTGAATGCTGAGAGAACAGAAAAATCAGACCACATGTCTACCATCTGTATTTGTACTTGTCAACAGCTCTGTTTTGGGATAAACAGTTTTGAAGCAAGAATCAATTCAACTTGTTGGAAGATTAGCCAAGGAATAGCTCAAAGACCAAAACAGAATGTGAAGTCAGATAGTCTACAAATCAAGCACAATTTTGTTTCTCGCTAAACATTCTGTTTTGTCACAGCCCAGGAGAAAGAGCGAAACAGCTAGGGCTTAGGGGCAGAGTCAGTGAGAATATATGTGCTCAAGTGAAAAATTCTTCAACCTAGAACAAATGTCTTTGCTACAATGCAATTGGAAATCATTTACTGACCTCTAGGAGACTACAGTTAAGAGAAAAGTAATTTTAGCATTTACACTTTGTTTCATGGTTCTACTACAGAAAGGTACACACAGGGGACAACTTGCGCTGGTCCAAGTGCATAATACAGTCCTTTATTACCATAAAAACCATAGCATTTCCCAAAGTCAATCTTGATTAAAAGTAGTTCCATGGATGAAAACACCACTCTACTGGAGAGCTATTAAGCTGAAGAGATGGCAAGGGGAAAATAAAGACTTATACGCTGTCAGGCAGGTCAGGGAAGAAGTTAGCAAAAACAGGACGCTAGAGCGATGGAGACAGTGGCTGATGTGAGCGAACGAAGGGACGCAGTAACCTGGCAGCCTCACACACTCTACAAAACAAATGAGAGCACTGCGCTCCACTTGGAGGACATCCATTTTCTCCTCAAAAGAAGTCATTTATAAAAGAGCAAATTGGTGATTTGTACTTACAGACTGGACCCTTTTCAAGCCCTTGTCGGGAAGTGATAAATTATTGAAGCATAGCATAAAGTGTTTTATTTTCACCACGCACAGTGAAGCCTTGTGAAATGTTTCTGTTCACCTCTCTCAAGTTATTAATTAACAAATAATTTTTCCAATTATTCTCTGATCTTTAAAATAAACTAGACAAATGCCACACACACCTCTCCAGAACCAGCGATATTCCTTCACCTCTTCCTGTTCCCATATCCTTCCATTAGGCAATTACTTTAAATCCTACCACCGGCTCCTGCGACAGGAATTCTCTTAGACTGGGGAGCACAGAGCACGGCCAGCACCATGTTCACACCAGTCTTGTGTCCCTTCAGCTGCAGCACCCAGGTATATTTACTGTTCCCAGAGACAGCTTAAAACTGTTTGCAGAATAAAGCAGGATGGTGAAAGGCTCATTAACAAATTGTGCAAACCCTCTCTGCAGGAGGAGCTGCCTTGTGCCATGCAACAAAATAGTCTGCACAAAGTCACATTTGAATATAGCCCTGATTTGAAAGAAAGGCTTCTCCAAAGTCACCTGCGAGGCAAGGGATAGGAGAAACTCTTTCCAAGTACAGCTTAGAAACCTGAATGAAGGTACAGACCCGCACTCTGCTTTAACAGAGATGACTGCTAGAGATGTACAAGAATGGCTCCTCTTCGCCTGTGTGCACAGACATTAACGCTAATGCCAACACTCCTGAGAGGAACCAAGACAATTCAAAAAGTCTAATTTCACAGGAGGAGTTGTAGGGTGACTGCTTGAAGGAAGACTTTCCACCTAACCAGCATATGGTTCATCTTCAAAAATTCTCCAACTCAGCTGAGATTCCCATTCCCTTTGTGGAAGTGCCACTGTTAGATTCCCAATCCTATTTTCTATCTAGGTGGTTGAATCAGCAGCTGACCTTCCAACTTTGTGACCCCTTTTCAAAGCTCACACTGAAACTGGATGCCTTTGTAGAACATTTTACCCACTTTCTGCAGGGTTCACAGATAGGGAAGGTGGCGTTAAGGGGACCGCCTTTAAATGTTTTAATTATACATCCACGTATGCACCATTTTGGTCAGCTGAGTAAGTAAAGCAAATCAAATGAAAAGACACTGCCTGAAACTTAAGTTAAACAACTTTGTAGGAAGACATGGATTTTGGCATTTTTTTTTTTATTCTTTTAGCATTTTGTATACTGACATAGAAGTAAAAGAAAATGACTGAAACTTAAATGTGAAAAAGTCTTTATAGTTCAATCCATAATTTTACACAATCACATTACTCACATGCCAGTGAAAAAAATCACCAACTATTATGAAGTCAGGACAACTTACATCACAAAAAAACCAAAAAATAGAAAACATTTCATAAAAAATATATTCCGACTATGAAAAAAATTGCTTCCTCGGTGTCTTCACATCCTTCTCTTCTGTGTACTTATGTACAATACTGAAAAGACAAAAACGAATAGATTTTTAACAGCTGTTCTTCAGAATCACAGTAGCCAGTATTAAAAGCAAATGGATTTTGGCCTAGTGGCTCTGCAAATGTAAAAGAAATATTCATACCACACAATTAATTCTGGAACCGCTGTAAGACCAGTCTTACGAATCCAGACCTGGGTTTGATGTCCTATTATTGTGTCTAAGCTGATCTATACATCTCATTGCCTTTACAAATTATGTCCAGGAATTCAAATGAAATAAAAGCAAAGGTTCCTGAAATCTAAGAATGATTTATACTTAGGTATATCATTAAGAATAAATGGATGTTTTTATGCATCTCAATATAAACTCTGAACTTGCTGTTTACCCTTAAAATTTTAACAAGATAAACAAAAATTGAGGAATAGTTTTTTAAGAGATAGCAAAGTCTTTTTCTCAGTTCCCTGTCAAGAGTCTCAAATTTTGCTGTTACCCAAAGCTTTACTTTAATTAGTCCTATCATAACCCCAGAATTGAACTCAGTAGGACAAGCAGTACATGAGAGTGAGATGAAATCCGACGACCAGATCACTGGCTAAGTTTTCACCAGAAATGAAACTCTCCCATCCCCAGGCATGCTCAGATTCTCATGTCTGTTCAAGGTGAACGTTAAGAGATGTCTTTGCCAAAAATCGCAGCACAGATAATCAAATGAGTTAGGATCTTATTTAAGTAACAAAGATGTGAACTGAGGAGTCTACAGACAATTTGTCACTGAGTACTGTGTGGAAAAGAATCCTCAACATACTAGGAAAAACACACCGAAGAAACTTCCAAGTCCTAGTACAACGTGCACATAAAAGGGAGATCTTGTCACCTGTCATGGACAGGTGTTATCACTGTCTGGTGATAAGGCAAGATGGTAACATTTCTTAGTAAAAGGAGGAAGTCAAATAAGAACAATGCAAAAACAGAGAAAGAAATTTTATCTATTGGGATGGACTTAAAAATAAGCAAAAGATATATATATAAAGGTATGATATGAAGAAATACAGTACTGGTATTTAGCTTACACCAAAAAGATCCAACTGTTAACGGACGGAGGATTCCCTTACTCAGAATGAAAGAAATCAGTAAAATATCTGAATTCAAGAATCCCAGAGCTCTGTGGTGGGGTAGTTAACAGACAAGCCCTGTAATTTTGATATTTACTCTTCCCTGCCCAAACTTTCCATCTGACTTTATTGACAATTTGTTTTGAGTGAGGTGACTTAAAGCAACCACAGCAGCCACAGCAGCGTGCCAACTGTTAACAGGCTGCATCACTTCAAAGCCGTATCTCCTACTCTGTCATCTCTGCCAAATAAAAGGTACAAAAAGCATCTGAACATTTAAGAGAAAAACAAGAAACACAAAAGTTAAGCGCCAAATTATGTTAGTTAAAGATAGCAGGGAAGTAACGTCCATCCTTACACCTGAGTTTCTAGACCCTGAGGGGAACGAATATGTATTGAGGGGCTAAAATAAATGACACTGAAAAGAACAGAGTTCCAGGTCAGCACACCCAAGTTCCTCAATTTGTCACCAGTGCAGCGGCGGGGGGATTCTAGTTAAATGGAAAATTCCGTTTTCCATCTAAAAAGAATGATCAGACTGAAGCCGTGAGATGTAAGTACTTATAAAGCAAAATAAAAGACTAAAACTGGACTTTTAAGATATCTAGAAAACTCTGGTGTTCCTGATTACAAACAAAAAGGCTTATTTTGAATATGGTACAACTACAGGGTGAAGAAATATTACCATTGTTTCCTCGGATAAATGCATCCCCATACTTATTCTTCAGTTGTCCATTTACATACTCTTCTGTCTGCTCCAGGGCGATATTCATATAGCCATCCAGGCAAGCCAGGACCCCTGGAGACAAATTTAGTCAAAACAATACAATGTAAATAGGAGCTGAAAATTACAGGGTATATCTTAGAACTGACAACCTCTTTATTCATTTGCCCTTAGATGCGTAACATAAAAATTCACACTGTAAACAAAACCCAATAGACTTAAAACACAAAATGAGTCTTTACTCTGTGCCAATCTAAAGGCAGGCTAACAAATGCATAATGTGAAGGCAGTCACGCACCCACTACAATAGGACAGGCAACGAACTGTCACTTCCCTCTTGGTATGTATGAGCACCACAGAAACTTTTAACGCCTTCACAAAAGTAAGAGAATAAGAATATTCCAAATGAAATGCCATTCTCTGGAAGCTAAAGACAGGAGTGGGCAATTATGCATGGACAAATGATCCTCGGTTCCAGCAGCATTTCTTACTTTAGCCACTAAGTGAAATATGGGTCTGGCAGATTTATTTCACTCTTTCACAACATCTACTGCAGCAGATGAATGTACTCCAGGGTTAAGAGGAAGTCTCCACAATCTGTTAAAATAATAGAAGAGGAGACAGCAGGTGCTCCTGAAAGAACATCTCAAAGCTGTGACTCACAGTGAAGAGCAGCTTGAGAATACAGGGCAACATATTGCATTATAACACAGCCCGTTCTGTTTTGTTACAGTAGAAGATCTTCAAATCAAAACTAATGGAGAAAAATGGTGAAAAACATTCTGGGGAGCTTTCAAGGAAACCCTTTTGAGTGAATCACTTTAATTGTGTTAAGATGGTATAAATTTAGCAAAATTTAACCAGATTTTTTTTTTTTTTTGAAAAAAATGAAAATGTGCAAGTCACTAACTCTCAGTACCGTGTTATTTTGGGGGTAGGGGAAGAAGCAAAAAACATAATACAGACTCAATTCGATCAACTGATTGAGTCAACAGTTTCATTTAAAGCCTTAACTTCATTAATATGCTCCTCACTCTCTGCCTCTGCCCCCATTATCCTCTAAACAAAAAAAGTTTCTTTTCAGAATTTGTTTGTGTAAGGAGAGCACAAGACATTAACCTAACGAAATTCTGTGAGAAGCAGTAACTTCCAAAGAACCGGAATGGACTGTGAACCATAACGGACAAAAAAACCTTAAGATACAGCTTCACAGTATGCTTCCTGCTGCACTCTCTTACATCTAAACTACAATCATAAATTAGCAAGAAACTTTAAAACATTACACACAAGTACCTATGAAAATAGAACAATCAGGATTATTTCAAAATACAACATTCACTTTTAATGAAAGTATCTATTCTCATCCAAAGGCTTAAGAAAAAACCCACCTGCCCAGGAGGTTAGTTATAATTCTTCCTTTCTAGAGAAAAGCTACTATAAAAAACCAGAAAACTAGGTCTTTTGTTTTTTCAAAGTAACAGAGAAATTGCTACAGAGCTATTAGTTTGTTTCTTAAAATAATTATTTAACCACAAAAGAAGTGCATTTTTTAATTTACTAAGGTTCTCTAAAATATTTTGCTCAAACAGTATAAAAACTATGAACAAATAAAACATAAAAAATAACGGTTACTGTCCATGTGAAAGCCTGTTCAGCATCATTTGCGAACAAAGAAAATATAAATAAAGTGCTACCACTTTTGCCAATGAGATTGGAAAAGATAAGCAAAAGCTAACATAAGTTCTGGTTAAGACAGACTGTAAGTCAATAAATTCAAAACCTAATAGAAGGCCACCTGGCAAACAGAAATCTTAGTCCTGGGGTTTTATTCTAAAGACATACTTGGGCAAATGCTCAAGATCTTGATGAAAAAAGCAGGGTTGTTGTGACTATAATACAGCCCTATATAATACAACCCTATATAGGGATTACTATATAGTCACTGATACCTATATTGTCACACAACTAAATGTATTGAGTGTAATGAAATATAAAACCAGATTGCATGTATAAAATATAAAACCAGCTAACTCCATTTATGTAAAATTAAGCATATACAGAGAAGTGAAAACTGATAAGATTAGATGGTAGAATTCAGAGATTTTATTTTTTTTTCTATTATTTCTGCATTCTTTGCTCTTAAATTTCTAAAAATAAAAACTACATATATTCCCTTTATAAAGAAAAATATTTTTCCAAAAGAATTCACATAAAAAAAGGGCTGCTATAACTGATCTCTTCATAAAAATAGGTACTGAGAAGACATTAAACACAATGCCATCACTGTTAACTATACTTAAATGTGTACCTCCCCAGGGCTCATCAAAAGTTCACAGGTAAGAAGCAATGCACAAGACTTTTCTCACTATTCAGTACAAATCCATTTCTTCTAACATAAAAACCAAATTAAATGGGTGATGTTATCAAAAAACTAAAGCAGTAAAGCACAGTGATTTCTTACAAGGTTTGAGTCAAGTCTGAGACTGAATCCTAGCTCTTCTCTTACTAGGTAGGGATATCAACAGATCCCAAACCATTTACGTGAAGATAAAATATAAATAAATTTACAGTGACTGGCACACACTGGATACATTGTAAGTACTCAGTAAAATTAAATCTGCATGTGTGAAAAGACAAAAAAGATGAGATTATAATTAATTATTCAAAAAAGAAACCAAGGCCACAAAACTTCACTGATGAATTATTTATTTATATCTGTGAAGTATTCCAAGTAATTTAATAATCTTAATTTTTGCAAATTATGGATTTAGTAACCCTTAAAAATGAAATGTGATGCCATTCCTTCTGCAAAGTTAACGTCTGAGCTCTTAAACAGTATTTTCTACAGGAACAGAAAGGCATCTTGGCTACCCCACGTTACCCGAGTAAGTTCACACTGTATACCGAAACTGTCTAAATAGCTGCTTGCTAATCTTGAACACGTCTGTAAAAACAAACGCTGCTGGCCAAGGTGTTCTTCAGCATTCAGTTATGAACGCTGAGATGACCAGGAATCTCAAGCTATTATTGGGGAGCTCAGGTATACATAATCTCAAATACTGTCCGGAGACAGAATTCACACAAATAATCCTGGAAGTCAGAAGGACAAACTGCTATCAGCATTTCTCTTTCTAGAAGGAACCACCTCAAAGGTAGAAAAAAGAGATGGATATGAAAGCAATGCTCAATACTTCTTTTGGTCTTTTGGGTACATTCACAAGGTTAATGAAAATCACTAAGTTATATTTACTTATTTAGTTACACCAGTGAGGATAAAACTTGAAAATATTACCTCGATAATCCACTCCCGAATTTAATTTGACCACAACTGGCCTTCCGATGATTTGCTTTAAGAAGTCACTAGGGGTTTGCTTCCGCAGACTCATTTCAACAATCCTGATCAGAAATACGAAAGAGGCCAATAAATGTAAAGACAAAAGTTAATTATTCAACAAAAAACCTTGATGCCCTTATGTGTTTACAGGAAATCAACTAGCGAAGGACTATATATTAAGCTGCAATTATTATTACTCCACTACTCCCTGACAGCTAACATGTCAGTGTTTACCACGAGGCAGATACAAGCAAAGCACTCTGCACGCATTATCTCATTCAGGCCCCGTAACCCCGTGGCACAGCCTCATTAGAGAGTCCTGTATTCACACAGCAGCTGCTCGCCTCACTTGTCCTGCGTCTCACACACAGTCAGCACATCCACTGCAACCGCCACCACCTCCACCGCCTAGCGAACACTCACTGTATGCGGAGCGCTCTATTAAGGTCTTTGTAAACACTATCTCATTTAATGTTTACAGGGCCCCTGGAGAGGTCCGAATAGCCCCATTTTGCTGTTGAAAATAAAGGTACAGAAAGAATAAACCATTTGTCCCCCAATGTAATGAAACCAAAAGTGGTACAACATCGAAGGTCAAGTCAATCTTGTACTTTACAAAATGTAGACAAACTTATGAACAATGACACCTAAATTTTCTCTGAAAACAATTATACATTTATGAATCCATGTGAGCCTCACTATCCCTTTATCATCATTTTTCAAATGAAGAAACACACAGACAGTTAAATATCCTGCCCAACATTGCACGGCTAGTAAGTGGACAGTTGGCCATGCTTTTAATTTTAAATAGCCTTCTCAAAGTTGCTACTGCACCAAAGACTTTGAATTACTCAATCATGATCACAGCAGACATGAGCTCTAAATGATAAAGTCTTAAAATGTAAGGATAAAGGAATCTGATAGAGAAATAACATTATACACCCAAATTAATCACACTGGACAGAACTGGTTCCACTCCTTTCAAAACTTATGTTATACAAGAGCTGTGTCTCTAAAGTATGTCGGTAAACAACTTAAAAAATAGTTACTTTACCAAAAACTGAGAGTAAAAAGAATACAGGGATAAGTTTTTGTTTCAAATTTAACATTATTAACATTTAGTAGTGGTATACCACTGAGACTTAAAATTAGTACAGATACAATATTTTAAGAACTCTAAGAACTCAAATTGACTTCTTGTTTGTTTTCAATCAAAATATTCATTAAACATTCTTCCATAAATATCACTGCTTATTTCACTCCAAGTGTTTCGACCCAATGATCTGAACTCATTGGGTCGGTTCAGAACTGTAAGATGTTCTCAATCAAAGTCAGTTTGTGCAGGTTCAACAGTTTGAGTAAGCTGAAATACCCAAGTTACTGTTTTTCTACTTGTTCAATAAATACGTGCATGTACACATTATGCAACAATTCAAAAATACGTCATACACAAAAGCTTTCACCTTAGGAATTTATAGGCTAGAAGAATTATTTACACTCTTGCTTAAAGGGCATGAGTAATTAAAGTGATCATAATTTAAGCAATTTTTATTAACCAGAAAGAATCAGTATGAGTTAAAAAAAAAATACAAATCAGAAGCTATCATTTGCACAGCCTCCCTCCGCGCACTTGAAAGATTTTAAAAATATGGTCAACTGATTATTTTGCTCAGTAAATTTTAATTCGGCCTTTTCACTGAACTGCTAGTAAATATTTTTTAGCTCCATAGTCTCAATAACTAAAATTACTATTCATTCAAGACTCAGACCACATATCAATTTTATTTATGTTTTTCTGAGTGCAGAGAAACATTACAAAGTAAACACTGTAACAGATTCAGTATCTTTAATGAGTGTAGTGAAAAACAAATTTTCCCATTCATCTCTAAACTACCTTATTTCTATCCTGCACATGTGCTGTTTTGTGGCTGAGCACTTCCAGAAAGACTACTGAAGGCCTGATAAAGACTCATCTCAGGAGTCTTAGGATCATTTCTGTCATAAATGCCAAATCCCATTACGCCAATTTCTTCAGTACAAAACTGAGATAAGATTAGCTGTCTACTTAACATTTAAAAAACTACTAAAATGCACTGTGATGTGAAAACCTAGTTCACAGCAATGACTGTAGGGATTAACTACTTTAATTATCAGTAATTTGCCTACTCCTAGAATATTTACAGTTTAGGATAAAAAATATTAAAAATAAGGAGAGTTAAAAGTTAATGATGGTGGGACCAGGGATATAGCTCAGTGGCACAGCCTGCCTGGCAAACATGAGGTCCTGTGTTCGATTTCCAATACCAAAAAAAAAAAAAGTCAATAATGGGGAAGAAACCTCCACAAACCTAGGCTCAGTTGTTCAACACTGTTACTTCAAAGATGTTATTAAATTTCTGCACATTTTAAAAAAGCAGACATGTTCTTCTAAGCCCACCAAAAATAACACCTTCATTAAGCCTTATTCCAATTAACATTAACCTTCCCGAAGGCAATCAACACTTTGAACTTTCAAGATGCACCTACTAAGTGTCAGACAGATGTAAGGCATGGCCTCAGGCACTTATGAGTTTACACTCCGGAGGAGATAAATGCCACAGAAATGGAGAATTTTACAAAGGCTGCATGCAACAGAAAAGAATTATGAGATACATAGAGAACAGGGCAGAGAAAATCTTTTAGGACAGCCATGGAAGATCAAAGGTGGCTTCCTGCAGGTGATGTCTGAGTGGAGTTTGAAGGAAAAGAAGTCCACCAGCGAGAAAGACAGCAGTCTCGGCCAAGCCACTGGAGAGTGTTTGTGTTTACAGGTAAAATCTGCGTCGGTAAGGAGAAAGGTAAAGAAGGGAGCAGTCCACACTCACTCACAGGGCCACGGGCTTGAACTCTGCTCATTTTCCCCAAGTGGAGTCATCTGGGTCACTTGGAGATTCTATTTAGGGCTTCTGGAGCAGGACCCAGGAATCTGTTCTCACAGTTGTAGATGATTCTGAGGAACTGGCAGGTTTGGGAAACACCATCTTTTGGGAATGGGAGGGTTTTGAGCCGGAGCTTGCTTGGGGTTCACTTTCTGGCTCGGGTGGCAGAGACAGGCCGCCTCACTTAGTTCTGGCATCACCTAGTTTGACATTTGGCTCCATCTGACACGATCTGTCACCATCCACTGTTTTTATACTCTTTTTAAAAGGCACGTCTTTCTCTTCAAAAAACTAAGCCGCATGACAGCAAAGCTGGTCACAAGTTTCCCATGTGTCCTGCAGAATATCTGCATTCTGCTAAATCTTTGAAAGAAAAATTTAAACTGATTTGGAAAGAGTATGGTTGCCTCAAATGCATTTTATCCATCATTTCAGGAGAGCCGTGTCTTTTACATTAGTCTTCATTAGGCTTCCTTGGTACTCCCTGTTACTTAATGACTTGCCTATAAATCCATTCTGTATGAGTAAATTGGTCTTGACACCACAATTTTTTCCATCACTTGGCTCAAGTAATTTTAAGTTTTCATCTTTTAAATTGGATAAGGCAGAAGGAGCAGTTCTAACAATTTCTGAAGCAAGAGAGAAGACTTTTGAACCATAAACAAGTAAGAGAAAAAAGACCTCAGGGTCACCTTGGTAAAACTTCTCCCTTCAAAATTAAAGCTATAGCCACTCTCTATGAGTCCTACCCCTCCCCCGACTCCTTCACAGCCTTGTTTTAAACGACCTCTTTTCATAAATGGCTATTAAGTCAAAGGCAATATATTTTCTGGCAGAAGCTACTGAGGTCTAGTATGCAAACATCTGTAAACTAACTACCCTGCAGATAACTTTTTTTTAAATGGGGGGGGGGATTCTGTTTATCCAATGATATGCCAGGCCATGCTGAATTCACAAGCAGTTCAGGGACACCATGCAAGATGGAAAGCACAACCAAGGCTTGAGCCCAAAGTCCAAGCTCCTTGCTGGCTTTGTCAAGATTCCCTGTTATGTCTGGGGCATGGCCACGAGGACAATGTGAGCTCTTGTTGGAGGGTCACAGCACTGCGGGAAAACTACCTGGTGACGAAGTACTGTGCGTTAGCCTGCAAAATTTAATGGCCAAACAGAAAATGTATCTGATGTGATTTTGAGCTGTGCTAGTAAGATATGAAAATCCTTATTTCTAGGCAATGTTTACTTGTAAATGTTTACCCATCCTAGAGTATTAATAGCTGAGGGTGAAATAAAATCCGAAAAGCAAAAATTTGTAAGACATAATATTACTCACTCAAGTAAATGCAGCACTGAACTGACTAGTCTATCAGTGTCTGAAGGGGGAATCACACACAGAGAATAGCTTTTAAAAAGAAGCTTAGTATTTTGCATCAGGACAATAGAACCGTTCCTTTCTGAGACAGTGGCCATGCTTTTAAATGCTCCATACCAATTTTTCCTCCCCAAGCAGGAAGGGTACTTCCTTCCCTCACCCCAAGGGCCAAGTGAGCTCCTGCACAGCACCTCTTCCCATGCTCAGGCACGGCCCTTCTCAGGTTATTCTGTCATTTTCATTTATCAAGCAGCCTCTCAGTATGGGCTCTGAACCACCCCAGGGTAGGGAATGTCTTGCTCATCTGGTATCACCCATACCTAAGCAGACTGTCCAAATCTGCAGAAAGGCCATTCAAGGCCATGCCAAGAAAAACCTGTCCCATCCCTCCCCTGCTCCTGCCTCCCCAAACTGTGGACACGGCACTCGTGTGGGATAATTCACCTTCTGCAGCAGCATCTCTAACACTGACCACCAAGCGACAGAAGAAGAAGGGAAAATAGATACACTTCTGGGTTGTTCAAAACCACAAGGCACCCAAATCCAGAGATGTCTGTTAGTGTACAGATTCCTACAGACCACTCAGGCAAGAAGCAGTTCAGCTTACATTTTATCAAATTCCCCAAAGCAACCCGTTAAGCCCTTGATTCTCAAGGAGAGGTCATTTTACGCTCAGGAACATTTGGAAATGTCTGGAGACATTCTGGATTGTCATGACTGAGGCGGGTGGTGCTACTGCTATCTAGTGGACAGAGGCCAGGGATGTTGCTAAACATTTTACAATACGCAGTACAGCCCTCCACACCAGAGGGTTATCTGGCCCAAAATGTCAACTGAGGTTGAGAAATGTTGCTTTAAGCGTTAAAAAAAAATTCTCTAGTCCTAAAGCAACAAGGAATTTTAAAGAAAGCTTTAAGGTGTAATAAATGAGAATAGCTGTGTTCTAACCAGACCACGGGATATAAATTAAGTCAGTTCTCCCTATCAATGGGCTTTTTATGGATTCAGCCAAATGGAGACCAAACAAACAAACAAATTTCAGCAGATGGATCACAGTTGTTTCTGTATTGAACAGGTATGGACTCTTTGGTCATTATTCCATAAACAACACAGAATTAGAAATCATTTAAGTTACATGGGAGGATGCATATATATGCAAATATTATGCCATTTATTTAAGGGACTTGAGAATCCATACATTTTACTATCTGCAGAGAGTTCTGATACCAATTATACTCAGATACTGAGGGACAACTATATAACTTATTAGGAATATTTTATTCTAACATACAGAGATTCTGAAAACTACCGTCAAAATCTTGATAAGGTTGCCATTCTAACAAAAGAATATCTAGGCCTGACATGAAAGCGGTCAGTTTCTCATTTTTCACTGTTACAGTTCCCTCAGATGATGAAAATCTGTTACTCAGCACAATTCTAAAAGGCAATGTAAATATCTTTCAAAAACTCTGGTGTCTAATAAGCCACGGTTCAGTGAGAGAACAGCTATGCCGCAGATAAGGGTACTCACTTGAGAGGCAGGAAACCTGAGTTCTAATTCCAGCTCTGCTACTTAATTAGCTGTGTGACTCGAGTAACTCATCATTTCACCTCTCATGGCCCCAGGTTCCTCATCTGCAAAATAAGGCAGTTATGCTAGATGACCACCGAAGTCTCTTTCTGCTCTAACATTCAGTTAGCCTATGCAAACTTCAATAACGCACACACTCGCACCCCTCTGGAAATTGCGCACAAATACAAGCAAGCAAGCAAACACAATCGCCATACATCACTACTAATAATGATGATAATTTTGAGAGGCACTGCTTTACTAGTTTTATGTTAGAAATGTATTAAACGCTACCAAATTTTTGGTGAAACAAGCACAATCATATTCAAATGATATAAACTACTAAAGTTTTTCGTAAAAACCATCTGGCAATGTGTCTACAGACCTTACGGTTTTATTAGATCAGAGCATCTGATTACACTCCTATGAATCTAATCCAAGGAAATAATCTGAAATATAGTTAGATTTATCAAAGTGTTACCTGGAATGCTAAAATGAGCTAAAAACTCAAAACAACCTACATGTCTTACAGATGAGGAAACGAATAAATAATTTACGGGACCTACACAACGATGAAAAGACAGCCAACGAAAAGAAGAAACAAAGTTAGAAATATTTAGGGAGAGTTGTTAAATGGAGACGGGAAACTTAATGAAACAGGTAGCCAAAGCAGAAGCTAGTACATGCATCAGAAAGACAGACTGTAGGTGGGAGGGTTCAGCAATTATTATATTCTTCACTAGTCTTTAGCATTTTCAATTTTCCGACAGCAATCATATATTAATAATTAAGAGCGCTGGGGTGGAGAGGGCGCGTTAAATACCTATCAACGTTATCTACAACATCTTAATCTTAGACACAACAAACAAGCGGAAATAAAAAGAACCCGCTCAGCACGCGCTTGTGCGCGCGGGCGCACACACTCCTACACAGAGAGCGTTTGGGGATAGAACCACGCAATCGTGAGGCTCCCCTGTCTCACATCTCGGTGGGAAAAGCTCGCCCGGCTCTTAATTCCCGGGGTAGGCGCCCCACCCCTACGGAGCGGAGAGTCTGCAATTTCGTGCAGCCCGGGAAGCAGGCTAAGCCAGCGCCAGGGTTCGGAGCTGCTTTCCCGCCAAACCCCCGGGTTAGCGTCGGGTTCCCCGGGGAACTTCCACCACCACGAGCAGGCTAGCAAGCCAGCTCCGAGAGGCAGGACCGGGCCGCCACTCGCAGCGCAGTCCAGGGGCCCTCCACCCGAGCCGTCCCGGGCACTCGGGCGCGAGAGCGCGCGGCGCGGCGTTTCCCGGGCTGCAGGCCGCGCGCGCTAGGCCTTCTCCCGGGCCGGGCCGCTAAGGCGGCAGCCCGCCGCGACTGAACACTGGGGCAGCGGACCTGACGCTGCGCGCGACCCCGCCCCTGGCCCACGCGACCGTCGGCTTACCTCGCGGCCGGGACCCAGAACCCTACTGCAGGCGCGCCACGAACCCGGCCTCCGCGCACAGTCGCTGCGAAAACCGAAACTGCCCAAGCGGCGGCTACTTTCAGCCTCAGCCAATCAGAGCTTTCCTCGGCTACGGTAGCCCGCGGGGGCCGTAAAGGTCGGACCGCTGCGGAGCGCACAAACTCAAGGGGCGTGATTTGATGGCAAAATTGGTGTAGTAGGGTTGAAGTAGGCAGTTGTGGTATTTTCTTAACAGAGAGGAAAATACAAAACCAAAGCAAAGCCTGAAAGAAAATTGCGCCGGGGATATAGCTCAGCCGCACGGCTCCTGCCTGGCAAGCACAAGGTCCCAAGCTCGATTTCCGGTTCCAAAAAAAAAATTGCAAATTATCCTTTGGGTAAGAGTTTTTTACAGAAGTGTACGGAATGACGAAGTCATAGGAAACTAGAATATACTATTAAAATAATGGACAATGAGTATCGAGAAATGTTCCTAAATAATTTAAAGAAAATAAAACAGCCTCAAATCTTTAAATCCACCTTTGATAATAATTAAATGTGTGAAAACTAAATCACTATTAACTAGAGACTTTTTACCATGGCAATGTTGATACAGCTAAAACCATCAAAGTAACTCCAAATTATAATGGCATAAATTGGGATTCATTACAAACTAGTTCAAATTGCAAGTGATACGCAGATAATATTTTATTGCTGCTGGGAGAACTTGGTTTGAAAGTTTATGTGAATTCTTAATGTTCTTGCAGAGGAAAAAGAAAATGGATCTCTGCATACGAATCCTCATCAGCTTAAAATTTACACTTTAATTTTATTTATATCAGCAGTATGAACTCAGTGATACTGGAATATCTTCAAACAATAGATCCTTAATCCTGTATTAGGAGATCTAAGATGGGGAACTTTTTCTAAGACAAAAAAGTGAGTTCCCTTTTTTGGAAGCGTCTCTTAGCTAGAGGCAAACGAAACGAACCTCTGATAGACATGGCTATGACAAGTGGGTGTGGTTTGTTAAAGAAAGACTTTCTTCTATCTTATAAAAGTTCAGTTGGGTAAAGACCAAATAGTTATAGATTTATTGAGAAGGCTGCATTTGAAGCTGTCAGTATAACACGTTAGATAAATTAAGACTTTAAGTGTTATTTAAATCACAGAAGTAACTGTGAAGAACAACCATGAAGTATAAAACCCTGTCGCTAAAGTCTTTCTTCATAACAGACCTGAAATGGTACCACATGCTTCCCTGATTGTTTTAATAACTCAAAAAATGATTTTTTGACTCATAGCTGCTTTCACTTTGCCACAGAGCCATCAGAGAGCCATTAAACCTAGTGTGGTGCGCAGGGAGTGGTGAGTTTTCAGGGCCTGGGTCATCTGCAGAGCAGCTGCCACCTTTTCCAAGGGCCATAGCTCTGTTAGAGCCCAGCTAGACGAATGGCTTGGCCAACAAGCGTATAACAAATGTGGTTTCAGAACAAAACAAAACAAAATTTAAAAAGGCAGTTGTTCCCAGAAACCCCTCAGCAGTTTACAATTAGCTTTTACTAACGCTTGAGGCATATTTCCATATTTCACATGTGGTTTTTTTCCAAGCATCTTTTATTATATCACAAAGACAGCATATGCGAGACTTTTTCTGAATACTAGTTCAAGAACCAGCCTTCAAAGCCCTGAACGTAAACTTTATTAAGGAGGCTTAAGGTCATAAAAATAATCTGGCAAGGTTTGATTTAGCTTGCATAGTTTGCTTAATACAATTGACAAACCTACCCTGACACTTCATTATTATCACCAAAATCCATAGTTTACATTTAGGTCCGCTCTTGGTGTTGTGTATTCTGTGGATTTTGACAAATGCATAATGAGAAGTACCAAGTATTACAGTATCACACAGAACAGCTTCACTGTCTGTCTTGGTTCCTTTTCTCTCGTTGCTGAGACAAAATACCTGACACCCAAAATTAAGGAAGGAAAGTCTCATTTAGCTTACAGTTTGTGGAGGTTTCAGTCCATACTTGGCTGGCTCCGAGGCAGAAGATAGCAAAGCAACAAGAGCATAGGGGGGAATGGCGGCCGAACAGCAAAGCAGCCAGAGCAAAAGGGAGGAATGGCGGCAAGCAGCTTCTTTCCCTGCCTTACATTGTAAACAGGCCACCTAAGGGGCATGTAGCTCTCACATAATCTGCATGCCCTCCTCTTGCACAGGCTCAGGATGAATACAAAGTAAGCACTGTGGCTTCCTGCTGAGTCACTTAGCCAAACCTTTAGACTCCCCAAGTTGACACAATGTATCAACCATAACACTGTACTAAAAATCCTCTATACTCCACCTCTTTCTTGCCCAACCCACAGTAACCATTGATATTTTATTGTCTCCATGGTTTTTCTACTTTCAGTATGTTGTATGGTTGGAATCGTACCATACGTGGTGGTACACAAGCTGCATTACCTGACTGGGTAGCCTTTTCAGATGAGCTTCTTTCACTTAGTGAAATGAGTTTAAGAATCCACCATGTCATTTCATGGCTTGATAATTCATTTCTTTGAAGTGCTGAATAATACTCCATATGGATATACACCCATTTCTTTGCTTATTCACTTACTGAAGGGCATCTTGGTTGTTTCTGAGTAGAGCCACTATAAACATTTATATACAGGTTTTTGTGTGAAATTAAGTTTTGAACCCATTGGGGCCAATATTAAGGAGTATGTTTGCTGGATCGTATGGTAAAAGGATGTATAATTTTGTAAGAAACTACTCAGCAGTCTTCCAATATTTGTGTACCATTATTCATTCCCACCAACAGTGCAAGAGTTCCTGTTGCTCCACAGCCTCACCACTGTACGATGTTTCTAGTGTTTTAGATTTTGCCATTCCAATAGGTATGTAGTGATATCTTGTTTTTGCTTTAATTTGCAATTCCTTGATGACATATGATATGAAATATTGTTTTACATACTTATTCTAAGTGTATATCTTTTTTAGTGAAATATCTGTTCAGGTCTTTGGACCTTTTTTTATTTTAAAAATAAAAGGAGGAAAACATTAACAGACAGACAACATTTTACAACATAGCAAAAAGAACAGTACAGACAATACAGAGTTACAAACAAAGTGGTAGGGAATTAACAATGGTTGTTGTATTACATATTGATATCTTCAAAGTGGCTTCTTATAAGGACCATTTTTGAATTGGGTTGTGCTTTTTTTACTGTTGAGTTTGTATGATTTGGATAGTAGTCTTTTACCAGATATGTCTTCTGCAATTTTTTTTTTTTTTTTTTTTTAGTACTGGGAATCAAACTCAGGACCTTGTGCTTGCCAGCCAGGTGCTTATGCAGCTCAGCTATATCCCTGACCCTTCTGCAAATATTTTCTCCCAGTCTGTGACTTGTCTTCTCACTCTCTTAAAGCTGTTATTCTTAAAATAAACAAATGCTGATACAAAAAATACTAAGTGAACCCTTGTCATTTCATTGTTCTACATAGTTTTTTATACCTGTGCTTTTGAATAGCTATGTCTTTAAGTGCTATATGTTCATAAGAGAAGGTGTCATGTCTGCCTTATTTTTTAAAAAATTCAACATTTCTGTGAATATGGGAATGAAGTGATAAATACAAACATGGAATCAGATTGGCCAACACTCTCCACAGCAGATTTTAATATCTAACATTGGTGGTAAGCTCCTGACTGGTTTTGCTTGAGTAGAGCATTAACTGGGATGAGATGCTGGCCTGGATCCAGGTGGCTCCTTCGCTTCAGACAATAAAGACATGCTGCTCTAGTTTGGGGTACTTGGGCCATTGTTATCTACCATTCATCTGAGATACGAAAATTATTTCTTAAAGAAAATAGGAAGAAACACGTTATAGCTGTTGAATGCCTTCTGAGAAGACATATTGGAATGGTCTTTCAGTACGGCTGTACCATTTTGCATTCCACTATTGACTGATGGGCAGATTTCTCAGGAAGTGCAGTATGTATGTCTTTTGTCTTTATTCAAAGCAGGGCTGTATTCTACATCATCAGTACTTGATTTCAGATATAATATTTGAGAGGTTTAAATGCTCAGATATTATTGGCCCTCATTTTAGTATGACTTAAATTTGAAAAGAGATGGACTCAGCACCTGAACCACGGTGAGCAAAAATTCCCAAATACTCCAATGTTTTACACTCCATCATGAACTCCAGGAACCTCTCTCAGCTGTAAAATTCACTGAAATCGGTGTGAAGCTGTCCTTGTATTTTAATCAAGATGAACTTGAAAGGTGAACATTATAAGTGGGAGAAATTATTTATAATTTGGTAATAAAAGTTTATGTCTAACACTCCAAATTTCATACATCTGCTATGTGCTGGCCCTGAGATATAAAACAATTGAAGTTGCCTTTACATTTGGCCTTATATGAAGGGTCATAAATTAGAATCATAGCGTTCTTCCTCTTTCCTAGCTCACAAAATTTCCATATTAACATCTTCACCTCAAACATAAATGGTTACCCAGCTACGAAGAAAAGAGTTGTATTGGCCTTTATGAATTATAGTTTATGTTGGAAATCTGTGATACATAAGGCTGCCGTTTAGCTCACAGTGGAGTGTATATATTTCAATGAAGCTAATCCTACCACAGTGAAGTTAATTAAAACTGTATGGTCAAGTTAAATAAATAAAATACAGTATATATAAAAATTTAGACATATTTTAGATATCAGCAAGGTATGCAATTCTTTTAACTCTTATAAATACAATTTTATGTCTTCAAGGGATTTTTTTTTCTCTGCTAGATATCCTTACCAAGTTTATTTGAAATAAACTGGCTTTCAGTTTTTAAAATGTCTCTTTTCAATGTGTTTTTAACTGATAATATGAAAACTATGATTTTTTTACTACAGAAAAAACCACACAACTCATTTTATTCAGACATATAAAAATGAAAGTCATTCCAAAATATTGATGAATTGGACCAGTACTTTTTGTTTAGACTTTCAAAAAAACCATGTTTATAGTAAAAAACAGATGTCCTTAATTTTCCAGTATGAAATATCAAATCCATATGCTTTATGGGTGT